CCCCCCCCCCCCTTCTACAAACTGTTTAGTATTCTTGTAGACCCTTTGGGACCAACAAGAACCCATAAAGACTGACCGAGATCAATTGATAATCCATCCATTGACTTAGTGTGTATAAAACCATAATCTACCACCTTCATTATCTTTAATCTAAGATTCATAAGATATTTTTTTAAGATTCACACATGAACTTTAAACTGATTTAGAATTCCGATTATAAGTTGTAAATTGATATAAGTACAAGTTATAATTAAGACACATGTAAATCTATGTTAAGATTCACATATGAATATTAAACAAATTCGGAATCTTGATTATAAGTTCAAAATTGATATAAACTATGATTAAGATTTACATGTGAATCCTAACATAGATTCACATGTTCACAAATGAACCAATGAGTACACTTAATTATCAGTCTAATAATTATTTGTTGAGATCTTTTGTATTTGTTTGCATTTCAAACGACCAATAAAGAACATCGACGTTTGTGTTCTAGTATGAGATTTAGGCAAATGATATTTAATTCGATTTGTAGATTGTAAAATCATAAATGATTTCAAGACGAAAACTGGATAAAAAAATCGATTATTATCGATATCCAAAAAATGTTGTAGAAAATATATGAGATATTTGATTTTTTTTTCTTTAATTATCTTAATTAGTGAAAAAAAGACTTTGAAAATTAAAATATTACACTGGTGCTAGAGATTGTTTCTTGTATTCTCATCATTTTTATGTCTCTCATTAAAACATAACACTATACATAGAGATATTATCAGTCTAACAAACACCATTGGTAAGCATGTACATGGAATTATCAAAGGGACTATTCATGTGAGTTTTATCTTAACTTCGTATATACATAAAATTGTTTGTATGAAGTAAACTAGATTTATGTTCATTTAATTGTTGTGTTGAATAAATAGTCTAAAGGATGTCTAAATGATAGAAATAACTATTTTATCCTTAGTCAAAATCAAGGTACCGATTGAAATAAATGTTTGATAAATATTTTGAATGGTTGATTCTGAATAATAAAGCAATATCAATTTAAGGGTATTATTTAAATAAAAACAACTATATCTAACATAATGATAGAAATTCAATGCTACAATCACATCAAATTCATAACTACTTATAGTTAAAATACATGAGTTATCATGGTTTGGATATAATTTTAAATATAAACATGTGAATTTGCTGCTTAGTAAATGTTTATTTAGACCTAATGTTCGGGATCGTTGGGTATGGATGCTTGAAAAGGATGGGGTCTTTTTAGTTGCAAGTTTAAGGCATTTGATAGAGGATGAAATTATGCAGGCTGTTATGCCTACTCTTTGGAACTCTTGTGTGCCTTAGAAGGTTTCCATCTTTATTTGGCATCTTCTTTGGCGGAGGATTCCGGTTCGAATGCTTCTCCACGACACAGATATTGACCTCCTCTCTACCAATTGTCCCTATTGTGAAAACACAGAAGAAAAAGTTGAGCATTGTCTCTTGAAGTGTTCCTCTAGCTTTTCTTTGTGGGCAAAGGTGTTCAATTGGTGGAGATGGTCTTTGTCGCCGTCTATTACCTTAGATGATTTGTTGGTTAGTTCGGACTCTTTCCATCTCGATCTCAAGGCGTCGTCTTTGGAAGGAGATCTTATTGATCATTTTATACTTAATAGGGGAACCATCGAATTACAAAAAGGTCTTTTCTAACGGTCCGAATGACCAAATTTATCGGTTTTTTGCTCTCTAATGTCGCTCTTTATGTTGGATCTTCAAGTGACAAGAACGTTTGAAGTTGTCACGGACGGAGTGGTGTGGGGGTCATGGGTTTGATGGCTAACTCGAATGATAGCTCCCGCGTTGCTTTAGGCTGCCATTAGCTTTGGTGCTCGAGTGCTTGAGGGTTGTGTTCTGTTTGATCTTCATTGTTGTGGTTCTTTTCTTTTTGTTTATGTAATCTTGTTCACATGTTTTCTTTGTTGGGTGCGTTTGTCCTTTTGGGTGATTGTTTTCGCTTGTTGGATTCTTTTTGGTTCTACACCTTGCAGATAATTATGATTTTCTTTTGTATCCCCTTCGTTCTGTTTTTTTATGTTTGCTAGCGACTAACATTTTCCATTTCGGCACAAGTTCATCAAGTAAAACATAAACTTTAACGAAACCTAAGTTCAATTAAACAATAACGAAGTTTCGTATTTAACGATGGAAGAACCATACATCCCATTAAGGAATAGCCTTTAGGAATTATTTGGTAAATATAAGTTAGTTTGTTAGCTAGCTTACTTTTTTAAGTTTCTGTTTGAATAGACATAAATTTCCTTATTGAAACGCTAGTTATAGCAGCGTTTTAATAGTTTTTTTGACAGTTTTTTCAATTATAACTCTAATTAGAATCAATTGTTATTTTATTAATAATAATAATAATAATAATAATAATAATAATAATAATCAATTTAAAATTCTTTTAATTAACATATTATATTATTTAATTCTATTCACTATTGTTTTAATTATCTATACTATATTATAATACATTTGACAAAACCTAATAAAAATCATTTTTATGCATTTAGTACTGTTTATTAACGCATATTACTTAAAATTCAATATTACAAGTAAATTATACTTAAGTACAACTTATCAAAACTTTATTTTTGAATTAGTATAATTAACTGCAGATATGTATAATCAAATACAAGATAAAAATATCATTTTAAATATATAAAGTTAAATATATAATTATGATAATCATTGGATTTTAACGAAATACTTAATTATCGTCCTTATAAAAATTATATTATTAAACAAAAATAAATAACTTTATTATTAGATCTAAATTAAATTATAATAGAAAATTAAATCAAAGAAATTATATGGGTATTAAGAACTTTTAAATGATTAATTATATACTAATATTGATACTCTTTTACAAATTTAGATTTCATTTAAAAAATAAAAATATTATCGTTTTCTAAAAGCCACATAAAACTGTATTATATCGACAATGAAAATGAACAAAATAAAACATTAAAATCGAAATATATCTCGTTGCATTGCATGAAGTATTATTAAATGTTGTGATTGACTAATCTTTAAGATGCCATTTTTAATTGTTTCATTTATTTATCAACTATTAGCTAATTTAATACCTAGTTCACAATATATACCGTTAGACCACATTTACAAATTAATTGACAATAATTTGTCTTGATAATATTAGTTTATCTATATAATTCTAATTTGCGAGTTCAATTCTCTTTAGGAAAGTCAATATATAATGTTGTTGATTGTTAATTAAAAAAACATCATTATCATAGCAACTTCAATTCATTTATTTTGCACCATTCTTTTATGTTCAATAATTTATCATATACTATCCTTTTATACCAAAAACAATACAATAACTTTCTTAAAATGTTATAAAATAAATATAACATTTTTCTTACTTTTAAATAATAATTGTTAATGTATTAAATCACATTAAAAACTTATCAAAAACACAATGATTGTGAATTTTTTTCTATAATAAATCTATCTTTATAACAAATGATTTATTTATACAGACAAAACTTATTTTTGATATCTGTAGAACTATTATTATTTTCTAATTTTCAATCATTATTAAAAATAACAAAAATACAGTAACTTGTTTTTTTTCTTTAAATCATATGAAATAAATTTATTCTTTATTTTTTCGGAAAAAAATACATCCATATAAAATTAAAAAAAGAACAAAAGAAAATCAGAAATATGGAAAAAGAAAAGTATTGAATAGGTTAACGTCCCTCTAATAATTCATGAAAACTTGTATTCATAATGATGTGTTTTCTTGCTCCACCGTTCGATCAACACCATGTATTTTTATTAAGTTCAGAAACAAGCCACCATGGATGCAGTAATATTTGGCCCAGCACTCTATAAATTTCGAGTTTCGTTCCTGGTCGGCACCTTCCCAACTTGAATACATCTCTCTCTCTCTCTCTATCTCTCTCTCTCTCTCTCACACACACACATACACACACATCCGCATCATCTTAACATGATGCAGCACTTGACATGCATCACCTTTGTCTCCAATGTCTTTCAAATCAACCTTTGAGAAAATTAACAAGGAACCAATAACGTTTTCATCGATGACGAAAGAACAAGAAACATTACCAAACAAAATTCCCTTGTCCTTAGCCTTCTTCTTTTTTAACCCCTTTACCATTTCCTAAAGTCTTCTCCTTTACTTCTATATATCTTCTTCCTATACATCGAAGTGAACCCTTGATAATCCAATCAGGTCGTTGTTTGGCTTTTTTTTGCTCTAGGGTTTTGTATTTAACCGAAAAAGACTCTATCTTGATTCTCTTTAATTTGCACTCTTCAAGATTTCAACCCACCCATACCCATGGAAGAATCGGACCCACCATTTGTAGAATTCTACAAGAACTTATTCGATAATCAGAAGACGAATGATATCGGTGTTTTTGATGACGTAGAAGAGTGCGAAGTACCTACGATCGATCTCAGCCAGTTGCATCAAGGAGGGCGGGAAGCTGCAGACTGCAAGAGAGAGATAGCTGAGGCCTCACAAAAATGGGGATTTTTCCAAGTCATAAACCATGGTGTTTCTTTAGATGTTTTGGAAAAGATGCGATGTGAACAAATGAAGGTGTTCAAGAAGACATTTTATGACAAGGCCAATAACCACTGTAATTTGAATTTTCCGGCGGGTAGTTACCGGTGGGGAACTCCTTCCGCAACTTGTTTGAGGCAGCTTGCGTGGTCAGAAGCTTTTCATATACCATTGACTGATATCTCCAACATGGGTGGTCTCACTAGTCTCAGGTAGTTCCTAGTGCCATAATTTATTTATTTCCGATTTTAATTAATAGTTCGTTTATATTCAAAATTCCACATACATAAAAGTTGGTAGATACAGAACAATTTTATTAATAACGAAGGGTGCAAATTTTATGTTGCTTCACTCATAATCAACAAGCAGTGTTCATGAAGAGATCAAATCGATTTTGAATTTGTTTTAATCAAACTTTGATGAATTTTTAATATGATTCCAACAAGGAACTAGTTGTAGATGGGGATTGCAACTTAATTAACCTAGTTTAATCCTCAAGTAGTTAACAATTAGTGTGTTTTAGTTATGATATTTTTAGTAACCGTTAATCTAGACAGTATTTAAGAATTACATGTCAATATCATGATGGAGGTTGGTGAACGTAATCTATCTAAACGTAATTCATTTAATATTCCCGCATACTTATAATAAGTTATTATACATAACTTGACAAAGATTCATGGATGAAGTGACTAATAGAATTGACTTTCTTGATATGTAACAAGAAAGCAAATGAAAGAAGTTCCCATTCACCAACTTCAGTGATAATTCTCACATTAGAATCATTGCGGAAAATAGAATAATAATGCATTTGGCAAGATGATGCATATTAAGCTCAGGGTTCATTTAATTTATACCTTATTTACTTTCAAACCTAATTATAATCATATGTACATAATGCATTTTCATTAATCATAATAGTTATCATAGAATAATTCATGTAGTTGCTTTTTACAAAATTCTCAAAATATTTACGGCTTTGAAATTAATTTGTCCAAAATCGAGAATATAAGAATAAATGATTCATATATAAATGATTGATAAAAATAAACTGTAAGTTCACATATGCATCTTAATAATTTGAATAATTGGTAAAAATGTAGTTAAACGAACATAAATTCATATATGCATATCCAGGATCTACACACCATTCACATATGAATAATTTATTATTTATGTTCTTTAACATTTTTCCCTTTTTATTTTAACCTATACACACACACACACATAAAACATAAACCCACATACATACACATACGTAGACTTTTGGGATTATCTAGTTTGATTTTTTGTTGCAACATGCATGTTGTTATTGTTGAAATGTATCCAGATTGCATCATTTTTGAGTTTGCYTTGGAGGGGCTTTCTCAAAGTTGCAAGTTTTTCAATATATGTTTCAGCATAGGTTAAAACACCTAGAAAACGTTGCAAATGCTTAAAAAATAATTGAAGTCGATGAGAAAATAAATGGTGTTGAATACATTAAGGAAGTTATAAATGTGAGTAGAATTTAAACTAGCCAAGAAAACCCACAAGAGATTTTCTAACGATCCATTTTCCCTGAACAATTGAAGCATACAAAGAAACTAGCACATTTTAAAAACAGTGGATTACCCTTTAAGTTTCTATACATTTCTTCTTTGATTCATGGTGCTAATAGATACGTTTTCAGTGTTCATTAATTTTTCTTCAATTTTAAAGAGAAAATTAAGGGGTTGCCGATAAAATGTTTTTTGCAAGAAAATTATTATGTTCTTTTTATCGGTTTTCTAGTTTTGCAATATTCATATTTTGTATAAGTCCCATGAATTTGAATTTTGAGAAAAGAACTTCAATTTCATTTTATGTTTATGTGATGTATATGAATGAGGTAGTGTGTGTTACTATCAAGATAAAAAGTTAGTTCACAAAGTTTTTTTCTTCTTTTGGATTTGATGTATTTGGCATTTAATTTTTTGTGATTAGACTTGAGCGTTAACCACAAGAGGTTTCATTTAAAACATCTAAAATTGCAAAATAGCTGTCATAATCCAGTGGTACCATGAAAAGCCACAAGAACAATGTGGGATTAAATCAATGAGAGAAGGACATAAAGAAATACAAATAAATATAGAATCCAGTAAGATGTGTGTAGTTAGTAAACTTTGAATTATTTTAATAAATATAGTATTTTTACATAAAAATGAACAATATACATCGATTATAAACAGAAATGTTTAATAGGTATTTCTAACATTGTGTTCAATAGTCCCCACACACACACACACATATATATATATATATATATATATATATATTCACTAACCCAATAAACTTAAAGTCTTCATTCAGACCTATAACTCCTGTGGAAAGGACGCTGACACCATGTCATTCTTCAAAACTTAAAAGAGTTGCATATGTATATGTATATATATATATGTATGTATATATATATATATCCAATAATTGATTGTTTAGGATCCATCTTGAACCAGTGTCGCCTGGATTCAAATTTAATACTTGTATTGCTAGTGTGCTATTACTGATGCATAGCATATCCGGTGGTAATAGTGTACGGATATGAGTTTTGGGTCTAGGTCGAGATCATAATTGGTGAGTGTGATGAGGAAAGGCTAGAAAATTAAACCATTATTATAGATTTGAGTTATAAATAAGCAGAGTACCAAAACGAACTCTGGAAGTGGCAGAGAGAACTTTATGAATAAGATGTTACTCCAAAAGTAGTGGGAATCTTGATCTCAGAACAGCATTAGATATTCGTACCAGAAAACCAGCTAGATATGAGGGCATTTGTACCAAGCAAAGTAGGCAGATAAGGTAGGTGCATGTAAGTTGCCAGCTTCATGGAATGTGGACGGTTCCAGCATATATAGTTTCACTTGGAAAAACATTGGTTAAAGAAGATAATGTCTTTTTATATTAATTCTTGTTTTAATTGAATAATCATGCATTTGGCACCTTTTATCCAACCATTTCACAAGGTTCATGCAAAGCATACGTCCCACTCAAGGAAAGAGGTTTTTTGGTCAACCTGTGTAATATCAAATTAAGAAATTGATATCACATGTGGACTCTAAACAAGTGACAACCAGGGTACTACTACTGCCGTCTAGATTCTTTGTTAATTGGTTCTAGATTCCTGCTCTCCAGATGAATCATGAACCAGAATCTAGATGATAATTGAAAGTTTCTTTGTACAATGTGCTTCACATGTGGTGCCTACCCCAGTAAACATTCATGTGACCAAAGGAGTGGTGGGTGTGATCTGTTGGGACAAATGTCCTAGAAAGCTTACCCGTTAAGGAGCAGCAGTGTACTAGCTTTGTTCGTGGCAAAAACATACAGCCCACCTAGCCATAAGCTTTTTACCTATACGCTTATCTCTTCTAGTACTGCCACTACATGCTGTAACTAGTTGTACTTTTCCCTCTTTATTCATGCATGCATATGCATCGTCATGCTCTGGTTGTCCAAAGAATCTACTTCCAAAAACTTATCCCAATGTGCATGTGGTGTGAGCTGGAGTTCCTGTCCTCAGTACGCTGGCTTCAAATTAGTAGGGTTCGTAGAGTCAGAATCATAAGTCTGGTTTTGCAGAGAGGAAAAAGAAATTAAACCAGAACTGTACCATGCATTACCTTGTCTCCGTTATATTTGTGGGTCGTATCAGAAAACAATACTACGAGTTTTAAAGAAAAAGAGGTTACCATGGCATGTTTAATTCCCAAATTAACTGATCAATTAGTACTGCTAATTTCACAATAAAATTATATACTCCAGGAATAAGTAGCTTATTTTTATTTTCATTTCCATTCAGCACTACAATGGATCAGTTTGCCATGATGGTTTCCAACCTAGCTGAAAATCTAGCAGAGATTTTGGCGGAGCAGCTTGGCCATAAGTCTAATTTTTTCAAGGAGAATTGTTGGCCTAGCACGTGCTACCTCCGTTTGAACAGATATCCACCTTGCCCCGTTCCTTCACAAGTGTTTGGATTGATGCCACACACCGATAGTGATTTTCTCACGATATTACATCAAGATCAAATTGGAGGATTACAACTAGTGAAAGACGGGAAATGGATTGCTGTTAAACCTAAAAAAGAAGCTCTAATCATCAACATTGGAGACCTATTTCAGGTTTTGCCTCGTTTCTGTTGTTATTTTCTACAAACTTACATCATTCAAGTGTCACTGTTCAGTATCTCTGTGTTCTTTAATCTGTTTCAGGCATGGAGCAATGATGTTTATAAGAGCGTTGAGCATCGAGTGGTCGCTAATAAACACAGAGAGAGGTTTTCCGTTGCTTATTTCTTCTGCCCATCATATGATACAGTGATACAAAGCTGTGTTGAGAATTCCATTTATAAAAAATTCAGCTTTAGAGAATTCAGACAGCAGGTTCAAGATGATGTCAAGCGACTTGGTTACAAAATAGGGCTTCCCAGGTTTATTTTATGAACGAAATAAGCCTAAATCTTTTTCCCAATAATTCTATAAGTAGCTTGGAAAATATCCCCTTATTTTTTGGAAATTCATTCTTCTTGAGCAACAACTTTAAAATCCAGAATAATACCAGTAGTTCCGGACACGTAACCTCCACCCTGAAAGCTGTACATTGCTCTAGATCCATCAGTTTCTGCTCTATTAAAGGGCTTGGTTTATCTTTGAACTGTCATATTCGAAGTTCTTTCAGTACCTGAGCTGGTGGTTTGTTTTATGCTCAACGCATAGCTAGATGCAGTGACATGCATTTGCATATTTGTATCAGCTTTTAAAGAAAAAAGCAAGAGGTTTATGTAGTTACACATGCCAAATGGATATGTTTATATAATATTATGTTCCATAAATGTGTCACTTTGATGAAATTTTGCCATATTACTTATCAGACGATCTGATAATTGTGCTCTTGCAGGATCTCTTTATCATTTAGTGTGGGTAGTTTTAACTTAATTTGAAACACAAGATCACTTCTTTGTGAGCAAGGACTTGCAGGATATTCGTTTCTTCTATTAGGAGTACTGTGTACACGTGTCAGCAAAATAGTTAAAGGTTGTATTTGTTGTATAAATAGGGAAAAATAAGTGTATAGCAATAACAAAAATATTCCAATCTTTCTCTCGTTCTTATTTCTCTTTGCTTCGGGTTACTTCTCCCAACCCCTAAAATGCTATCAGACCGTATTTGCATCCGATTCATCGGTTTAATTCTTCTTCGAATATGTTTTTCTTGATTTTGAGATCTGTTGTTTTCGATTTCACATTTGCTCCTCTTGATTTCAGATCTGTTACTCTCGATTTTTTGTTTCTCTCGACCTCGATTTTTGTTTGCCTCGATTATGAAATTTGTTCCGCTAGATCTGTTGTGTTGGCAATGGAAGAACCACCTTCAAGCAAAACAATGAACATTTCAACACCATATTTTCTAAATCCATATTATCTTCATCATTCTGATAACCCCAGTCAAGTTCTTGTGTCTCCACTTCTCACTGGCGAAAATTAGACAAACTGGAGCAGAGCGATGATGATGACTCTGAGTGGGAAGAACAAGTCTGGTTCTGTTGATGGTGCCATTGTTGAACTTGACGGTAACACTGATGAACACATTTCTTGGACTAGAAACAATAGTATGGTTATGTCTTGGATCTTAAACTCGATATTTAAAGATATATCAGGTAATATCATTTTTGCCACATTTGCTCAGGAAGTTTGGTCTGATTTGAAGGACCGCTTTCAACAACGAAACGCTCAACAACAAAATGGACCACTTATCTTTCAATTGAAATGAGAATTGATGAATCTATGACAAGAGCAGAATTCGATTGGTATTATACTTTACAAAGATGAAGATGATTTGGGAGGAGTTAAGCAATTACAAGCCTGTATCTTCAGTGTATGTTAAGTCCTCAGAGTAACATGGATCTAACTTAGTGATAGAAGGAGATAGAGTGGTCGTTGAAGGAGCTTCAGAGATCAATGCTACAGGAGAGTTTTTCAGCTCTTTTGAATCTCTGAGCAGATTCCTTTTTAGCTGGCGGATTGCTCATGATTGAGCAAGATCCCATAGAGCATGCTAAGTGAAAGAGTGGACATGTCTAAGAGTCCTTAGACATCTTGAAACAAATGGTATAGCTATCCCATGATTATGGCAAACAATCTAGGAATTTTGTCAACGTCTTAAAATGAGAATATTCTCTTCCAACCATCCTAAGGTCAATAAGAAGACAATTAAAGCGCTAGTACACTTCATACAAGGATTTAGTTTTTTCACAGAGAAAACTTTTATATTGTCTCACCAAATCTTCCAAGACTCTTGTACATTTACCTTCATATTAAACACATAGGGTGTCCCATATAGATTTTGAGGTCCTTAGCTTTATTACGGAGTGATAAACCTCGTTAAGAAGAGACATGACGATTATAGATCTAGCTCTAGTATCTAAAGTCATCTTCTTCTTATCCTCATCACTCCATTGATGATAGAGCTTAGGAAGCTGCCTCTCAGGAATAGCGACACTCATAGCAGTTGCAGGAACTACTGGAGATATTGTAAATAGAACATAAGGTCCATTCTCAATATAGCATGGAATATCAGGATTCACACATTCCAGGAAAATGGACATCCGATTCTTCCAGATACTGAAGTTGTCTTTGATGAAGCGGGAAGGTTTGGCAAGAGAGTCATTGTCGTGAAAGTTTGTGTTTTGCAAGGCCATTTGAAGAATGGTTGGTAAATTTTCTTAAAGAAAGAAAATAATAAACACTGCTATGATACCACTTCTTGGTCCCAGACGGATTTACATGAGTTTATAGGTAACAGTGTATAAAGGGTAAATGGAGGGGGGGGGGGGTTAATACAAACGCACAATTTTCACTTTTTTAAATCCTTTATTGATATGAGAATATCAATGCAGAATTTACAGATTGTTTACAAAAGAAGATAATATACATAACTTATCTAAACAATCTAGGAAGCACATAAGATACAGAAAAACAAGAGAGAATATGCTTTCTTGAGAAGATGCTATAACTTTGCTTGAGAGTAAGCTTAGTTTTGCAAGTATGTGTTATTCTTCACTGTATGTAAGCTTAGCTTCGCGGTATGAAGAAGATAGTCTCCTTAACTATTTATACAATTACATTCAATGCAAGTCAGATGGTACAACGCACGTGACAAACTTATAGGGGTGAGCTTGTCTTTTGGCCGTATATGAACAGTGGTCTTTGTTGATCCTCTCTCTAAGTGATTTGATGATAATCCCTTTTCATTTATACATTGTATTTATGTTTTTGTCTTTTCAGTTCCAGCGATCATCACTGAGCTTGTTCAGTGATCGCTGAAGAACTTGTATTGTAATTTGATCAGAGACAGCGATACATCAAGAAGACAACACTCACACCAAAAAATCTTCAGCTAATGTCGAAGACTGAAACTGAAGATTAGAGACTGGCGAGTACATGATCTGAGGCAGTACTCAGCGATTACAAGCCCATCTACATATGTGTGAAGACTGCTCAAGCCTCAGCGAATGCTGAAGAGACCTTCAGGTCATTCCAGCATTCATCGATCAAAGGAAGCTTGCCAAGCATGATTGTTGTTGTCTTGTCCTTACTCACTCTCTAAACCTAATTCTTACTATGAGCATTTTCTAGCTTAAGTAAAAAATCTTCTCTTTAGAACATTTCTTTTCTCATTTGCTAAGAATTCGTGTGTAACCAAAGATTGTTTAGATAAGTTTTCTTACCTTATCTCAAACAATCTTGTAAAATTTGTATTGATCTTCTTTATCAATATACATTTTAAATTTGAAAATATTGTGTTTGTATTCATCATCCCCCCTTCTACAAACTGTTTTACTTATCTTGTAGACCCTCAAGGGACCAACAAGTGGTATCAGAGCAGTGTTTTCTTCTCTCTATCTGTTTAGTTGTTTCTGTATTAGTTTATCTCTTTTCTTAGATAACTTTACCGCTTACAAATGGCTTTACAACTTACAAATACACACACACACACACACACACACAAGACAATGACTCTCTTGCCAAACCTCCCCGGTTTGTCCATGACAATTTTAGTCTCTGGAAGAACCGGATGTCCCTCTTTCTTGAAAGTGTGGATCCTGAAATTCCACATTACATAGAAAATGGACCATATATTCCATTTGCTATTGCTCCGGCTATTCCAGCAACAGCTACGACTGCCGCGATTACTGAACGGCAGATTCCAAAGCTTCCACATCAATGGAGCGATGAAGACAAGAAGAAAATAGCTATAGACACGCGTGCTTGGTCTATAATAGTTATGTCTCTTCCCGATGAGATTTATCACTCAGTGATGAAGCTCAAAACCTCTAAATCCATGTGGGACACACTTTGTGTCCAATATGAAGGAACCTCTCAGGTTCAAGAGACCAGAAAGATCAATCTAGTACGACAATATGAAAGCTTTCTCTGTGGAAAGTCTGAGACGCTGTCCGAAGTACATCAATGATTTAACTGCCTTCTTATTGATCTTAGGGCTGTCGGCAGAGAATATTCCAACTCAGAAACTTTAACTAAGTTTCTAGAATGTCTTCCTGAGTCTTGGGACACTTTTTCCATGTGTCTCAAGATGTCCAATGACATGTCCACTCTTTCTCTCTCTACTTTATACAGGATTCTGCTTAACCATGAGCAATCTCCTCAACTGAAAAGGAACCTTGTAAAAGATTTCAGGGAAATGAAAAGCTCTCCTTTAGCTTTGATCTCTGAAGCTTCTTCAGTTGAAACTTCTTCTACTCCTTTTGTCTCTTCTCTTCCTCCCGTTGTTATCACGAAGATAGATTCTTCTATCTCTGAGGATATTCCAGAATCTGACTTGGCAGATTTGATGAATCCCTGGCCCTCCTAACTAAGTCTTTTAGGAGGTTCGCCAGTAAAAACAACTTCCGTAGATCTCCTCAGCTGTCCCTCAGGAAAAATCCAAAGTCTGAAAGAATAGACAAGGCTTCAGCTGTCTGCTACAATTGTCACCGGCCCGGACACTTTGCAGGTGAATGCAGATCAAAGAAAACTGCAATGCCATCTTCCAAGGCACCCTCTTCCTTCAGGACCAAAGATGAGAAGTACCTGAAACTGAAGGAGAAATATAGGAAGGTGAAGAACAACCAGCGAAAGGCTAAAGGCCTTGTTGCTGAAGAGCATGACTGGGCTGAGTCATCCGATGAATCATCTTTAAATGAAGAGGATACAACCTATATCTGCTTGATGGCCATAGATGCAGATGAAGGATCTTCAGAAGCGTCTACTTCCTCTAAGCCATCTACCTCTTCTCTTACTCAGGATGTCAAAGGTATATGGTATCTTGATAGTGGATGTTCAAGACATATGACTAGAGATAAATCCCTGCTAACTCATTTCAAGGAAAAAAGAGGAACTTCTGTAACCTTTGGAGGTAACGAAAAAGGATATACCAAAAATTTTGGTATATTAACCAATGGTGCAACAACTTTCAAACGCGTTGCATATGTTGAAGGACTGAAGCACAATCTTCTTAGCATCAGTCAACTGTGTGATAAAGATTATACAGTTAAATTCTTGAAGAATTCATGTCATGTTCTTGATGAAGATGATAAGGTTGCCTAAACCGGTTCTCATCTACAGAATGTGTACATCATCAACATGAATTCCTCTCTCACTGAGAATAG